AAATTTTTTATTTGCTTCAATTCCAAAATTAAAAATTTGGATTTTGAAAATCCTGAAATTTGAATTTCCATTCTGAAATTGGAATTCTGAATTGGAAATTGAAATTTGAGATTGAAATTTTGAATGAAAATTAAAAATTGAAAACTTCAATTGAAATTTCGAATTAAAACTTTTAATATAAAATTGAAATTTGGAATTCAAATTTAAAATTGAAATTAAAAATTGCAATTAAAAATCTGAACTTGAAAATTGAAAGTTTTTATCTGCTGAATGGTAAAAAATGAAAAAAGTCATTCAAATTTTCTTGTTATTAATTTCCTAGTATCCCATCGAATTTCTATATATAATCATAATAATAATGCTTTCTCAAGCATGAGAAGCGAAAAAAAAATTTTCAGGAAAAACAAATTGGACAAAAAAATTTGAGAATACTAAAAAGAAGTTTCACTTCTGTCGCGCGTGGACTCCACGCACTCTGTTTTTTTATTCTCAGGCATGGGGTCTCTGTAGCATCTCAAATATCAGGACTAGCTGCTAACAGCTATATACAACGTAGGAGACAAGAGATAGGTCGACCTAAACTGCCTGAATCATTGGAAGATTTGGCGCAAATTCTTACCAATAACAATGAACTGAAGGACATTGTAGGAAAGAATTATAGGGGAGCTGTCCAACCTACAGACGGGGGTGAAGGCTATGCGCTGATTTTTGCATCTGATACCATGATATCAGAGCTGAACTCAGCGAATATCATTGAGTTTGATGGAACAATGAAGGTAATAATTCAAAACTATTCAATAATAATTCATTCTTAACGTATGCTACGACCGAATCAAAACATTTCATCTATTTTCAAACAAAATATTTATAAGAAATTGCATTTTATTACAAAAATATAGTACTTTTTTCATCACAAAGTGCAACTCTGCGAGGAATGATTATCTCTAGCTTTGGTAACGTTCTATGGGTATATAACAGTTCTATTGTTGTTGTTGTTGTTTTCATTGTTGTAACATCATTTTTTAAACAATGAGATTTTTGCGAATAAGTATAGAATCCGTTATATGTTACACGGGAGTCAAGATGCGCGTTTACGATAAACCATCAGCGTCCCAGCACTCAAAATAAGTTTCAACGTAGACATTGGCTGTGACACATCGAAAGGGAGAGAAATGTGACAAACGAATAGACCTTCAGCCTCCCCCGAATACCGAAATCCATCGAAAATAGTTTCCGAGGAATTAGAGAAATCTTCACTCTATGGGCCGAGAGAAACGCGAAAACATATGAACTATGGACTTTGAGTGACTCTCGAACACTGAAATCTGTTGCAAATCTTTCATAACCATCGGTATAAAAGTTTAGCTTTTCTCGATGATTGAAAATCAAAACAAACTGCAAAACACCTTGCTCGTTCAATCATAATGAAAAAATGGCTATGAATACAGCACCATCAAAAGTGTTAATTCTAAAAATAAAATTTATTATAAATCATTGTACAGCAATCGAAAACACTCGAATTGTTCCCCAAGTGGCCTTGGAGAATTATCCGATTTTGCGATGCAATATACATGAGCATAACGAACAATTTTCATAATTCTGATTTTTACGTTTCAGTCAATTCCACAGAAGCCGAAAGGAACGCAGATGTGGATTATCAGCTTCAGAAAGGACAACCAGGTATGAAGACTCCTTTTTTGTTATGGTTTTGTTTTGGTAATCTGACCGACTCTGATGGACACATGAGAGAGTAGAGCCTTCCCCGATGGACAAATGACCGTGTAAAAAGTGCCTCTTTGTTTACACTGTTGCAATAAATAGTATAGAGGATTTCCCTCGATATCAAATCTAACTGTGAAGGGCTCTCTCCCCCCTCCCCCCTCGATCTTTCTCCTTTAACTGTCTCTTCTCTCGTTCGTTGGGACGAAGAGTGAGCCCAATTCTGCTTTTGTTCAATGACCATATTCAATAATTCATTGTTTCTAGGCTTTCGCCGCAGTTTACGCCTACACTCGAGGTGCAAGAGCACCGCTATATGAAGCAATCCTACAGCGTGTTCTACAATTAGCTCCGGGTTTGAAGAACGTAGAGCTGATTGTCTCAGATTTTGAAAGAGCACCACGCAAAGCATGTAAAGCATTGTTCCCGAGAGCCAAATTACAAGGTTGCCTATTTCACCTAGTGCAAGTATGTTAAAGCTCAAGTCCGTCTTGTAGTTTAAATCACTTTTCCATCAGTTGTCTAATTATAATCAACTTACAGGCGATATCTGCATACTGGGCAGATATCTTGAAACTTGTAAAGCTTCAAGCTCCCCGTGAAGCAAAATTTCTAAGTCGATCTCTCGGATTACTTCCGCCTCAACTTTTGACGGTTGGAATAGATGTTCTTGAAGAAGTAACGCAGTCGCATACAACAAACTTTCCGGAGCTTCTGCGTTTTATCGGATATCTAAGGAGACAATGGTTGTGGGATACTGAGTGGACCTCTGTGTACGGGAGTGCTATTAGAACAAATAATGATTCTGAAGCATA